TTTCATTGTGACGTATTTTCACTCCATCAGCGTAGCCAACGGCGTCCTAATGTACGGAAGTTGCTCCACCTGTCGCTTTACTGTTGACGAGCTCGGCATTTATCTTCGTGCTTTGCGTCATCTGCGCTGTTGAACAACGCTTCAGTGCTCACATCTCTGCCTACCCAATACCGATTCTGGCAAGAGACACAGAGTTCCTTTTTCAGCAGTGTTTTTTATGAATTTTTTTTTTTTTAAATTTTTAATACTCCTGGTCGTTGTGCTATACAATTAGATTAAAAATCTGCAGCTAAAAAAACTTTTAGATTTTTTCAGAAAAATTGCCTACTCGCTCTCGTGTTCTAAAAATTGTCAAATCTCTCTCTTCCCCAGCTTCCTCCCTTCATTCCCTTACTGGAACGTTCATTGCTCTTGACGGAATCTTGCTTTTTGTTACTGTTATTGCTATTGTTGTTGTCGGATGTCGCCTGTAGTATTGGCTCACTGCACAAATTTTTTTATTTTTATGTAATAAAATTTATACTGTGTTTTCAGATACATTTGAATTAGTGGTCTTTGCAACCACATAACGTTTCTGTACGTTTTCGTTCTCGTAAATATGTGCATGAGTCGGGGTTTTTTTTCGAAATTTTGGACTGGGGCATCGATCAGCGCGTTATTTTGTTGTTTTTTAGTCAAAGCAGAATGTCGCTTCGGGTCGGGATTAGCTAGCAAATAGTGGAGTAGTTTTGTCTTCAAGTACTAAGGTCAGGGTCATCAAGAAGGAGGGGGCTGGGGGAGGAAGAGAAAAAGGGAGGGGAAACGGGGCATTTCATGAATAAGAGCTTTTTTGGCCACCGGACTAGTCAGAATCATTTTTTAGGTTGGCTTTTTTTAAAATATCATTGTCGTATGAGATATCATTTTTTGTTTTCACAAATTTTTTTGTAAATTTGCAGAGAGTAAGCGATGTATTTCCCGGATAATACAGCAGATGTGCGTTTGGATTACGACCCGTTGCCCATACCGCCACCAGCAACACAACCAAGTAATGCTTATTTTTGTCAAAACCGGAAATTTGAGTTTTTCTTACGCTTCTGAATTTACGTCTCCGAGAAAAAAAGCCAAAGTTCTGGTCATATCATGGAACGAGGCGAAGTACTTGGGTGTATTTCTTCGTTACCGCATGAGCATTCACTGTGCAAAATCGAACGAGTGATGCGCGAGGCATCGTCTCGATCAAGCAAAAAAATAAGGTTTTGCAGAGTGAAGCAGTGCGCTTATTTTTTGGCAACAAACTAAAGTTGCCAATCAGTGAGCGTTCGCGCTACAAAGCACGCCGCACTTATCGGATGAAATTCGAAGTGTTCCACTGGCAAGTGCTGCTGGAGACGTTCGGGAGCCAGCTGGCGCAAGGGGAGAGCTTGGCATCGTTCTGCTCGGCTAGCATCGTGAACTGCTGCTCATCGACGCTGCAAACGAGCAGCTTACGGGGCGAACGGTGATTCAGGCATCTCCCCGTGACCACTGACTCAGTCGAACGCTCCTTCGCGAGGGTCTGGACGGCGTCTTCTTACGCTGCAACTGCTTGATTCAGTGTGTTGCCTACTGATTGCACAAGCGGGCTCTCCATGCCACCTCTAGCATCTGCGCGGGCACATTCAGTGCAAGTTTTTTACGGGCTTCCATGACGAGAATTTCAGGATCATGTCAGGATCAGAACGATATAATCCAGAATGTTTGTCAGATTTATCAGACAGTGGAAAGTGAGCGCGCGTTTCCACGACGCACCGCATTGATTCGTCACAGTTCACCACTTCATCCGTTCAGTATCTGCAATCCGAACTTCGACGGCCACGAGCAGTGCATTCCGTTCGTCCTGGATTACGTGCCATCCGGATTAGCACCGCCAACAATGGCGCATCACTACTACTACATGCTCGTTCGCAATGCGCAGATTCCTGGTTCGCTGAAAGATACTGTGTATCGTGAGTTGTACGATACGGCCCCGCCGCATCTCTCGACGAAGTACGAGCAGCTGCAAAACCGTTTCGGCTTAGCCCCTCCAAACGACTGTCGTATGCTCATGTTTGCCGTTCTGGATTTCTGGATCCAGCGTTGCAGGCTGGTGAAGTTCTGTCTGGACGCAACGATGTTGCTTCCAATACGCTTGGAATGGGTAAACCCAATTTTTGAAGGTACACGATTTCGACCCTCTTCCGCAGCAAACAAAGTTTGGGAGTGCGGTACAGAAGTCGATGAATACGGTTGGGCAGTGGAGATGATACGTGCTGAACGAATGCTTGCGTTCACCGAAAATTGCCCTTTAATCTTCATCGGAGACAATACTTCGGGTCGTCTGGTGCGTTATCTGGAATGGGGTAAGAGACTGGGCGATTTTGAGGGACGATTCCGGCGACGTTTCGAGAATGCGGAGTTCCCGTTCATGGAATGCGAACGGATGTCTGTGCTGGCACGCATGCTTCAGAAAATACATTTCGGTAATGGTTGCCTGGCTGTGGTACTAACATCAGGAGCTCATGAGCTTGCTGAAAACATGGCTCCCAGAAAATATGCTGAATTGCTGGATACAGTCCTGGCCTACTTGATGCAGTTCCAGTTGCGTATCATCGTCACACCGCCAACCCCGTGCACGAGGAATGCATCACTGTGGCTCAGATACGTGGAGGAGCAACGTGAGTTGTGCAGTAAGTTCACCGAAATTGAATTCTTAGTTGCTCCAAATCTTCGAGCTGGTGATGAGAGACGTTCCTTTTTGGATGCATTACTGATGGGCAGTCACTCGATGGATGAATATACGTGCGATTCGGGCACAGGCTTCACCGATTATGGAATCAAGAAGCTGAGCTTTTTCTTAGTTGAAGTGCTTCACATACCGAAAACTGAAACTAATGAGTACAGTCGAGGGAACGGAAGATCGATGGGTAGAGCAGCGCAGTACGATGAATACCATGGTGCAGCTAATAGGTTTCATATGATCAATAAGCCATCAAAAATGCGCTTTACGGAAGCACAGAAGCAGGGCTGGTTTCCACCAAGTCTGGATTATGAGCCACTAGATGACGGGCCGTCGTCATACGGTTTTGAAAATTCCAGGAGAAATTTCACGGCTTCTGAAAGAGCATTTGAGCAGGCGACAAAGTACTCGGGGCTGGCTGGCTATGGACCGTACGCTGACTTGCCACCGAACTTGCTACCGAAACGTCGTCGCAGAAAGAAGACAGAAAAGATGGAAGAAGCGGAAACTGAGGCAGGGCCCGGCCCGTATGAGTTGAGCTACCGATCGTCGAGTAAAGCACGACGTGAACGGCGAATACGGGCACGTGCGCGTGCTGCCGCTATTGTTGGCGAGTAGCCGCACTGATGAAACAGCTTCATAGGTTAAACTTTTTGCTTTTTTGAAATTTATATATGGACATCTGCTTGAGACTGAGGGCGCGTCGGCGACATACTGTTGGCGGCAGATATCTGATCACTGTGTCCTCTCCTGGATTCTTACGCTATTCATGCAGGGCTTCCGATACTACTACTAGGACACAATCGTGCACCGTGAGCAGCTATGCCGAACTTTTATTTTCCGAGCTGCATGCCAAATTTTTTCATTCCTACCATCTCGGCAGCACGTAAAAGCTCTCACTCAAAAAATTTTCCAGCCTATTGAAATTCTTTAAATGGGAGCTTTTTTTTGCTTGTAGAGCTGGTACGAATCTGTTAACAGAGGGAGTTGCATCTTTATAGTCAAAAGAGTCTTATTTCGATTGTATGCGCAAAATCGCGGCTGCAACGCCGTTTATTGATGGACGGTGATCATAAAAATGCGACAGTCAGCTACTGTTGTCACTGACTACTTCTCACTCTTATATCAGGGCTTTCAACTCATCCCACCCATCTCGGAGAAAGCAGCGGTGCCGAAAAATTTGCTCCATCTCAGAACTCGGCACTGTACGCAGTTCAGCTGAGCTAATGGCGTCAGGCATTATGTCTTCTGCTGGCGCTCATAGTAAACGTAACTGTCAGTTATTAAGTCAGCATCATCTGGCATATCGGTATTTTGCATTCCCTGCGCTTTCTATTTTTTGATTTTCAGACCCACTTCCTTTCAGATGTTAAATCCCTACCCGGCTGCACCCCCTTATTCCGCGAGTATTTTTAATTTTTTCGAATTTTTGTATTTATTTGGTTTTTTACAAGATTCCTAAAGTACTTCTGTTTTTTAGGCCTAGATCTGGCCGACATTCAGCGAATTCGAGATGATCTCTGTTGTTTCACATATGTGCAACAAAATGTTTGTTGAATCTTAGAATTTTTTAGTATGATGTCCCTGAATTGAGCAACTGTATTTTATAAATTGTGTTTTGCTCCTTTATCTTCCTTGAGCGTCGTGGTGTTTTATTTGCTTGTTCGTTTTTTTCGTACTACAGTTTACACCTCTGAATGAGGGCAAAGAGGGAAAGCTTGGCTCGAATTACTTTTTTTTTCCAAAGCAAAATGTTTTCGACTTTTTAGTTGAGAATGGCAACCAGTTTGTTTAATTCAACATTTACTTTATTGGTATTTGTAATTATTGAAAATTTCATCAAAACAGATAAA